GAGAGAGAAAGGCAAAGGCACAGGCAGAGGGAGAGAGAGAGGGAGCAGTAGGCTCCACGCAGGGAGCCCGACATGGGACTTGATCCCGGGTCTCCAGGATCACACCCTGGGCAGAAGGTGGCACTAAACCGCTGAGCACCCCAGCTGCCCTCCTTTCTTTCAGTTTCTATGACACAACAGTCTTCTGGTTCTCCTCCTACTTCTCTCATCAGTCCTTCTCTTCCCACATAAATATATACTCCTAAGCTTTTATCTGCAGACATCCTCTCTTAAGCTTTGCTCCTGGAGTTCCATCCACTTGGAGAGCTTCTTTGCGCACATCTAGGAGGGAAGTCCCAAATTTTTACTTCCCTCCAGCCCCAGACCAATGTTTATAACTTTTCATTCACATCTCCACTTTTCTGCAAGGCTCAAACTCCTCATCCTCCACCCAGAGGAATAGCTCTTTCCCCTGGCTGCTCAGTCTCTGTTATGTCAGCACATAGGCTGTGGCTCTCACCCATAACTGAACCTAACATGAACTTTCCCTGCTATTATTATCATTGTTTTTCTGCCTCATTGGTTTCCTCAAACTAGGCAGTTTTCCGTTTTTTGGATTCCTGGTCTCCCTCCTGAAGATGTTTACAAAAAGATTGAACCAAAATAAAATGTCTTTGAAGAGTTCTTTCTAAACTTACACATAACACAGAACTCTGATCATCTTCAACATGTGTGGCCCAGATCAGACCAGACCAATTTCTTCCCCAGATTTATCCTTTTTTCTTTTTCTTTTTTTTAAAGATTTATTTATTTTAGAGAGAGAAAGAGCATGAATGGGAGGGGCAGAGGAGAGGAAGAGGACAGAGCCCAAGGCAGGGCTCGATCTCACAACACTGAGATCAAGACCTGAACTGAAACAAAGAGTCTGATGCTCAACCAACTGTGCCACCCAGGTGCCCCATCTTCCCCAGGTTTATTCTAAGTTGGAATGAACCTAAAAGGACCATTGATACCACGATCATTGAACTAGGAGGATGAGTACCTGAGACTTTTGTACATTTGGTAGTGTATCTGCCCATGGTCTCATGAACACACCTCAGCTTTCCTTCTGCTCCCCACTTTTTCTGCTTGTTGAAATTATATCTATCCGTTGCTCAAAATTTACCACAAATAGCATTTGTTCCTCAAATCCTAAGATCTCTCCCTCCTTTGAAACACACCTACTGCAGTGTAAGCTTCTTAATCACTAAAAGGAGTTTTTCGTTCCTTTCTTTTTTTTTTTTTAAGATTTTATTTATTTGCTTGAGAAAGAGAGAGCATGAGCAGGGAGAGGAGCAGAGGGAGAAGGAGAAGAGAGCCCAACTCGGAGCTCCTTGACCCTGGGACCCTGAGATCATGACCTGAACCAAAGGCAAATGCTTAACTGATTGAGCCACCCAGGCACTCATCCCACTTATCTATCTGCCATCACCCTATCTCCATCCCAGGCACAAGACCCCAAAGATAAAAGCATAGTAACTGTTGACTCCATGAAGCCAAAGAAGTATGTCCGATCACCAGCTTTTGTACAATACCTATTTCTTTTATTCTAACATGCATATTTTTTCACAGTTTGACATTTGCAAAATCAGGATTCATTTTATAATAATCAGCATGCTATAATTTAATTAATGGGTACATCTCACACTGATAATACCTAATATTCAGTGAAATAAAGTATCATTCAAGCCTCCCTGATAACAATTACATTTACTCCTGTCTTCCTGCCTCTAGGGTGAATCATTTCATGTTCTCAGCATTTCCTTAGTTCCTGTTTTCCACTCCTGCTATTGTCTCCTTCTTTACCTCCTTTAATTTTCTCGTTTCCTCAAGGAGAGTCAGCTATTTTACACTGCAATAAGGCAGTGCTGAATACACTGCACAGTAGTGTCACTGTATCATGGTCCCACGTGATAAAATGCTGTTTGCAATTGTAATATGTTGAAGAAACCTTCCCTCTTGTAAGTAGGGCCAGCCCTAATCCAGAGGCAGCCCATCCAGGCGCCTTCCTGAAATTTTAGCAACTAAAAGCATTCTGTTTACAATAAGAAAACCATTTCCCCCCACACCCTGATTGGAATGTCCCTGAATAGGTTCATGTTGACCCTCCCCGAAATCAACCTGGATGCCATGCGACTCCCGCGGTTCTTTTGTCTTTAGGCAGTTTCTTTCCTTTTGCCTTTCAAAAAATACCTGTAATTGCTAATCGGGGCTCTTTTCCTCCTCGGAGGCGGAGAGCCCGTTTGCGCAAACGTTCAATAAACCCTCTTGCTAATTGCATCTGCCTGTCTGGGGTCTGGGTCTCTGGGGCGTCCACCAGGGCACGTTGGCACCCGTGAGCCAGGGTCCAACAATGTTTGTTCATACAATTAACTGTATAAGCTAGTTAAAATCTCTCTCTTTTTTTAAGATTTTACTTATTTATTCACGAGAGACACGGAGAGAAAGAGAGGCAGAGACAGGCAGAGGGAGAAGCAGGCTCCAAGCAAGGAGCCCGATGTGGGACTTAATCCCGGGTCTCCAGGATCAGGCCCTGAGCTGAAGGTGGCGCTAAACCGCTGACCAACCTGGACTGCCCATCTCTCTCTCTCTCTCTCTTTTTTTTTTTTAAAGTGTGAAAGCGCCAGCATATTATATGAGCCTCAATTTATGAAGACAATGTAGTCAGAAGCACAGTAGTGTTGGAATTAAATAAGACAACTATAGCAATATGATATATTTAATGACAACATAATTATCATTCTTTGAGCAGCATTGTGGTCTAGAAGAGTCTACGGAGAGTAAAAATTTCTAAACAAGTCCAGATGCTCTGTATCATCCATAATCCTTGTTTACACAGTTTTATCCTTCCTCCCTCCACAAGGCTGGAAAATCCAGTGGTTTGGGGCCAGAGAACTCCATGCAGGGGAAGCTTTCCTCTTTGGCACTGGCATGGGGCACCCCTAGTGCTGTGGAAAGTGCTGGTCTTCACTTCCTCTTCCCATAGCCTAGGATCCAGCCAAAACGGGGATGGCTTGTCCCACAAACCCTATACTATGTAGCCCTAACCTGTCCTGCCTTTCTCATGTCTTTGCTCAGGCCAACCTTTTCATCTACAATAGCACTAATAGAATTTTCTGTGGTTGTGGAAATATTCTATATATCTGTACTATCCAATACAATAGCCATTAGCCACATGTGGCTATTGAACAAAGCACTTGAAATGTGGCCAGTACAGTGGCAAGAACTGCACTTTTATTTTATTTTACTTAAATTTAAACAGATACATGGCTAGTGGCTACCATATTAGCACAGGTCTAACATGAATTTTTCTTCCTTTTTTTTTTTTTTTTTTTGATGGTGGGGAGGTGGGGAGAGAGAGTGGAGCAGGACAGATGAAAAGGGAAAGAAAGAATCTCAAGCAGACTCCCCACTGAGCACAGAGCCTGATTCAGGGCTCCATCTCATGACCCTGAGTTCATGAGCTAAATGAAGAGTGGGATAGCATGTACTTTTCTACATGTGCATTTAGCATGTAAAGCTTCTCAAAATCTCCAATCTTCAAAGGTCACCTCAGGGGCCGTTTTCTCCATTAGATCTAGTCTTTCCAGTGGAAATCATTCTTTCTTTCCTCAGAATTTCCATTACATTTTGAACCACTTAACACTTTTTAACTTATAGATATTTGTATATCCTGGACATCTCAGTGCTGAGAGGATTAGGGTTAGGGTTGGTTTCATGAATCTATAATAGCAGCACAGCAACCAACATTACAATAAACAACTGAGGAAGATTGTTGCACAATCTGGTCTGAGGCCAGAGGAAATGGATGAGGGACTGACAAGAGGAAGGAGAGGAGAAGCTGGGATGCATAGGGCAGTTGTGTGGCAGTCGTGGTGAGGGAGGAGAGGATCAGGGATCTACAGGCCCCTGACTTTAAACTTCAGTAGGCTCTGGCACCCACCTGAGCTCTAATCCTCAGGAACTAAAAATCTCTGCCTGCCCCTGTGGAGCAGATGCCACAAGCCAGCACTCGCCTGACTTAAGGCAGGGTCATCCTCTCTTTTGCTGCACCATTTGGTCATCCTCTCTTTTGCTATACCATTTGTACACTCATGACCAAAGGACCAGATACGCAGACCCTGAGCAGGAAGGTGGAAGGGGTTGTAGGTAGGAAGAAAGAACAGAACAACTTCTTTTATTAAGCAAGAAATCTGAACTGGGCATTCTTTCTTTACTTCCCAGAACAGCCCTCTGATTCCACAAGCTGTAATTGAAAGAGGAGGTACCCTTCTCAAAATTGTGTTCTTTATATTTCCACAAATACTACTGATTAGAAGTTCACTTGAGTTAACTAGCAAAGATCTAAATTACGGATAAGAGAAATGGTTATTCATGATTTATTGTAGATTCCGTTAATCAGATTGCTTTCCTAACCTTAGTTTAGCCACATTAGAGAAAGTCACTACCTTGTGGAAGGGAGAAATCATCCCAAGGTGCAGGGCATTTCTGGTCAGGTAGAGTCCCAGGGGTGGGGACTGGGCTTGGACACAAGGATTATTAAGGATACCTGTCTGATAGGGGAGAAGCCCAGAAAGAGAAGTAGGCTGGAATATGGAACACATTTCCACAGCAGATCCATGGCTCCTTCCTCCCCAAGACCAAGTCCTTGGCCCTCTCCCCAGCAGTAGACTTGTCCTGCATGGAGATTCTAGGAGAGAAGTTTTTAAGCTGCCTTCACAAGGGTCTCATAGGAGACTGGAGGTGCTTTCCTAGACAGACCTAGGAGTAAAAGCACCAGCAAACAGAACGGATCTGTGGGGTCAGTGGGGGTTGGAGGGAGGCAGAAGAGCAGCAGTACTGCCATATGTAGAATGAGTGCAGGCTTAGAGAAGTTCTCTGAGAGACCTCTATTTGTTCATTTCCACAGGACCAGGCACAGAGTGGGTACTCAATATTTAATGAGTGGTTGAATGGATTGCAAAATCATGCAACCAGGACCCCTAGGAAAACACTGACCAATAAATTAAGTTGAAAAATATGTAGGAGGCAGGAAATATCAACCTGGAGTATTTGTCAATGGCGTGGGTGTTCTGGAAGATGCGAAGACCCATGTGGCCCCTCAGAAGCCCCTTCTTCCTGGAGGAGTTGGATTCATTGCTCAGAGCCAGGTGGACCACTATTTTGTCTTGTCTTTCTTCTTCTGTCAGAATATGGCTTCTTGGGTATCCAGCCAGACTGTTGGCCTCAGACTCACTGTAGCTTCCATCCAGCATCATGGTTCTCGAGTGAAGCATTCCACACATGCACGGGAACTGTGGGCAGCAAATGCAAGGAAGGTGTCAGGCATGTTTAGGGCTTGTGGAGAGGCAGAGGAGGTGCCTTGGGCCCAGAGCAAAGCCCCATGGCTACTCAGAACCACAGAAAGGCAGAACGAGAAGGATCTCCAGAGATCACTCAGTCCAGTGACTCTCTACATATTATAATTCTCTGAATATTAGAATCATCCAGGGAGCTCTTTAAAATGGCCACATCCAGGTTTTACTCTAATTGATGTGAAGCTCCCCAGGTGATTGTACCACCCAGCCAGGGTCCAGAATCACCGACTTAGTCTGTTGCAGAGGGAAAAACTAAGACCCAGTGAGGCTACACAATTTTCCTGAGATTACACAGCTAGTGTTGGAGTCAGGACTTTAACCCCCCACATTCTGGGGGCACCTGAGTAACTCAGTTGGTTAAGCATCTGACTCTTGATTTTGGCTCAGGTCATGATCTCAGGGTTGTTGGCTTGAGCCCTGCATTGGGCTTCACACTCAGCTCAGAGTCTGCTTGAGATTCTCTCTTCCTCTCCCTCTGCTCCTCCCCCTGCTCTCTTTCTCTCTCTCAAATAAATAAAATCTTTTAAAAATATATTTAAAAATAAATAAAATAAACACACACATTCTGATTCCAGTTGTGGGTCTCCAACTCTTTGTGCATGAATCAAAAGATGATTAAATAGGAGAGTATCCTTACTTTAAAGAGTTACATTTAAGCATAAAAGGTCATGGTACCTGCAATGCACTTTTAAATGGTTCAACTACATGGACAAAACTACATGTATATGGAGAAAGAGCTCACACAAAAATGCCAAAACATTAGCAATGTTGAGTGTAGGTGCAGAGTCTATGGATGTATATTATCCTATTTTTCAACTGTTTCTACAAGTATGAAAATGTTTATAAGAAATTGTAAGTTGGGGCAGCCCCAGTGGCACAGTGGTTTACCACTGCCTACAGCCCGGGGTGCAATCCTGGAGACCCAGGATCGAGTCCCACATTGGGATCCCTGTATGGAGCCTGCTTCTCCCTCTGCCTATGTCTCTGCCTCTCTCTCTGTGTGTGTCTTTCATGAATAAATAAGTAAAATCTTTAAAAAAAAAAAAAGAAATTATAAGTTGGAAGGAAGGAAATGGCTTCACTTCTCCCCATAATTTGAGTCAGCAAAGAGTGGGCTTCCAGCTGGCCCTGGTTAGTAATTCAAGGGCATGTACCTGTCAGGTGGAGGCATGTTATTTTTTTTGACAGCTCCATACAGGAAAGTTCATTGGATTATAAATCAAAAGTGTTTAAATCCAGAAGTCCATTTGACAATGACCAATGTGCAGATTTATTGAAAATTTGAATGAGTACTCAAATGCTAAAGTAAAAAAGGTTTGAATAGAACTTTAAAAATAAATTCTTAAACAGTCTAGCCTAAATATATATAATATATTTAAGTATAATCTGGGCATTGAAAAACTGTTTTTGAAAAGGCAACACATCATCTTTTCCTAAAATTTAAAGCTCCCTTATGTTAAATAGCTACCAGCCACCTAGATGTACATAAATGTGGGATTTTCATATCCCCTGATCTTTATACCTTCTAGGTGAATACCCATTTTGATTAGTACAATGATGACCAATGATTTAGCAACAAGTTGGCATTTTATTGTTTACTGTGATTAATAAGAGTCTGAATATGAATGGAATGGAGTCTCCCTCCCTGTCCAAAGGCCGACGCACATTGCCTGAATTTCCCATTTGTATTCTATCTCATAACTGACGTAGGTTACTACACTGCAGTACAGTGTAGACAGCATAGTATTTCCAATGAGTCTGAAGGCTAAAGTTGTATGTAGCTGAATTTCCACTGGGTCAGAGCACAGATAAATACAGGAGTTTTTAATTCTAGACCTTTCCCCTCATCTGGGCACAGGACCTGGAGGCACCTTCCCTAAACATGTTCGTAGTAATAGTGATACTTTATGTCTGCCTAGAACCCCACAGTTTCAAAACAACTTTTGCATACGTTATCTCATGTGACCCTTACAACAACCCTGGGAGGAGGGGAGGGGAGGATTCCTCTATACCTTTTTACAGATGAGGAAACAGAGGCCCAGGGTAAGTGGTGCCTAAGAACCCAAGTCTTTGGGATCCCTGGTGGCTCAGCAGTTTGGCGCCTGTCTTCAGCCCAGGGCATGATCCTGGAGTCCCAGGATAGAGTCCCACATCGGGCTCTTTGCATGGAGCCTGCTTCTCCCTCTGCCTTTCTGTGTCTCTCATGAATAAATAAAATATAAAAAAAAGAACCCAAGTCTTCCCAGTCCTGTTCCAAAGACTTTCTGATTCCTTTTTTTTTTTTTAAGATTTTTATTTATTTATTCATGAGACACACACACACACACAGAGAGAGAGAGGGGCAGAGACACAGACAGAGGGAGAAGCAGGTTCCATGCAGGGAACCTGACGTGGGACTTGATCCTGACACTCCAGGATCACGCCCTGGGCCTAAGGCAGGCGCTAAACCGCTGAGCCACCCAGGGATCCCCTCTTTTTTTTTTTTTTTTAAGATGTTATTTATTTATTTGAGAGAGTACAAGCAAGGGGGAGGGCAGAGAGAGAGAGGGAAGCAGATTCCCCACTGAGCAGGGAGCCCAACGTGCACCTTATCCCAGGACCCCAGGATCACGACCTGAGCCCAAGGCCAACGCTTAACCCACTGAGCCCCCCAGGCTCCGGACTCTCTGCTTTCTGGGATGCTTGGTGGTTGAAGCTAGAACCCCTTCTGGAATAGATCCTCCTCCTTTTGGGCAGCCCTGGCTCCCTGCCCTTCTCATGCAACCAGTAGCCTGGGCTGCGGGCGGGAGATGAGGGACTCTGGTCTCGCCTTGTCCCGCAGCTTCCGCTCCTTGCGCTCCTGCACGGTGGTCAGGTAGTTGACGGCCGCGTACTCCAGCACCGAGAGGAACACGAACACGAAGCTGACCCACAGGTAGATGTCCACCGCCTTGATGTAGGAGACGCGGGGCATGGAGGCGTTCACGCCCGTGATGATGGTGGACATGGTCAGCACCGTGGTGATACCTGCAACGTGCAGCCGGGGTTCAGCCACCGCGAGGGTGCAGAACGGCCCCCACATTTCACAGAGTCACCGTTTTGCATTCTTCCTCCGTGTGGGAAACCCACGGAGGGGCCCCCCCCCGGGCATGGAAACCTCCACGCGGCAGATCTGCTCCATGGGCAGCAGGCGGGTCCCTCCGGGCCAGCTCGCTGCTGGCCTCCTCTGCCTTGCAGCCCCCCATCCTCACCCGGGGGGCTGGGAGGGGGCTGGTGTCTGTGGTGTGGCTGGCCGCCTCCTCAGTGCTTCACCAAGGACCCGGTCAGATGTGGAATTTGCAACAGTGACCGGAGGACACCCCTAAAGGAAACTCCCCACCCCTGCAGGGAATGCCCTCCCTCCCTCTCCTCCCAACCACATGTATTAAGTCTCTGAACGCTGTGGAAATTCCTGGAAGCCTATCATGCTATCTTCTTCACTGTGCCTTGCTGGTAAAACCCTCACATTTCTTGGAGACCCGGCTGATTGTGGCCAAATTGACCATGATGAGCTGTACACGTTCCCCCTGTTCCCCCTGGAGCTTCTGGTCTGTGGAGGCGGAAAACCACAAGTCCAGGGAGTACAGCCCTCCCCCTCCCCCAAATCCCCTATTACCCCCCCTGCCTTCAGACTCCAAACAAGGAGGACACACAGAGTGTGTGTATTTACAGAGGGAGGTTTTGGTGTTTGTAGAATTGTCTTATTTATGAAAGTACTGAGCTCTAATCCTGCTGGTGGTGGAAGTCTATCCCCCAGACAGGCTTCATGTTTCTGAGATGATTCGAGCAAAGCTGATGTAGCTTTAGCTCCCTGTGGTTTTCCTAAAGTAGTGGAGGGAACAGCGTGGCATGTGAGTGGTGACGGCAACAAGTGGGAGGAACGTTTGCTCCCTTTGACTCTGACAGCCCATCAGTTAAGAACTCTGAATAATGGTTGTCCTTTTTCTCTTTATAGTGACCAGCTGAAACAATAACCACCCCACCGCACCTTATCACATGCTTTTACCCAGTGAAACTCTGGCGGGCACAGCTCTGCGGTCGATCCAGAAGGACACCCAGGACAGCATGACCATCAGGGTGGCAGGGAAGTAGGTTTGGAGGAGGAAGAAGAAGATGTGGCGTCGCAACGTGAAGTTAATGTACAGACGGTTGTACCAGCCTGGGGGACACAGGAAGAAACCGGGGAGGTTCAGCTGGAGAGGCGAAAACAAACCCCGTCCCCAGGAGCCCTTCTTCCCCCTCCCCCCCACACTGCTCTCATCTTCAGCAGAAAGTTAAAAGTTAATGATTAATAGACTTAATATAGTACATCTCCTATCTAAAATCTAAGCCCTCTCTCCTATAAATAAGTATCTTGCGAGTATCTAACACATGTACTGTTTTTTTTTTTAAGATTTTATTTTTATTTATTCATGGAAGATACAGAAAGAGAGGCAGAGACACAGGCAGAGGGAGAAGCAGGCTCCATGTAGGGAGCCCGACGTGGGACTCGATCCTGAGTCTCCAGGATCACATCCTGGGCTGAAGGCGGCGCTAAACCGCTGAGCCACCCAGGCTGCCCTACATGTACTGTTTTATTCAATATTACCTAACTTTTCTTCCCCTAACATTTTGGGAGAACGTAGAAAGAGATATCTAGGTTTAGTTGTTTGTTTTGTATTTGTTATTTGCAAACCAAAACCATATTTCCTGAGGACTCACTGCTCAGGAGGCCCAGAAGTGGGACTGGGTTCTATTTCATTGAGGCCAGGGCAGCCTGGGTGGCTCAGCGGTTTAGTGCCAACTTCAGCCCAGGCTGTGATCTTGGAGTTCCAGGATCAAGTCCCACATCAGGCTCCCTGCACGGAGCTTACTTTTCCCTCTGCCTATGTCTCTGGCTCTCTCTGTGTGTCTCTCATGAATAAATACATAAAATCTTTTTAAAAAATAGTATATATTTTGTTGAGGCCAGTACCACTGAGGCAGGAGCCAGCAGAGCCTGGGTCTTGCCACTGTTCTCTCTGTTGTAGATTGGTCAACTCAGTCAGTTTCCACATATATCATGAGATGGGTGGTTGTAAATAAGGACTAAAATGATAAGGTCTCAAATCCACAAGATCTATACCCAATCACTGGGATCAAAGATGGTGTCAAGGACAGTATAAATGTGAAAAAGTGGACTGAAACTGTGTGCACACACACACTCCACTCTCATCTCAGCCCTGCCTGGGATACTGGCTCAGTAGCTTACAATGGGACCCAGAAATCTGCTTGTCAAACACACTCCCCTGTGGATATGGATGCAGGAGGACCTCAGGCTGCTCCCAGGAAAATGCTGCGCAGGTAACAAAGGCTACCTGGCTGGTGTAAAAAGTTACTGTGGAGTCAGGTTAAGGAAGGGTTGGATCAATAGGGAAAGGCTCAAACAATAGGATGGGTCCAGACAAGCTTGACCCATGGTTCCTGTGTAGGTTCCTCTGTTGTTTGAATGAGCTAGCTACTTTTAGTGGACTGGATAAATAGAAAGTGATCTTCAGATGTGACAGAAATAACCTAATCCTTTTTTCATCCCACAACCTTTGTCCCGTCATGTCAGCTTTATCTTCCCTACGTAAATCGGCACCCATGAAGCAAATCACATTGTGCTTTAGGTTTGTACAGGGTCTTTCTGGAAGGGCTGAGCATTGCCTTAATTCTGTTAAGGTTTGTTCCACTATCCTTTCCTTCTAAGAAAATCAGGGAGGGTTGCCTTGGAAACACTAAGAGGGAACCAGGAGCTTCACAAATGTATACTCTGTGTTCCAAACAGAGCACTCGTGGGGAGCTCACAGCCCCTGTACCAAGCCACTTGTTGGCACGTAGTAAATAATGGGAGAGGAAGATGCATTTTAATCTGGACTCCAGAAAGGCTGGAATGGGGGACAAGACAAACAAACAAACTTCTATTTGAACACAGAAAACGTCTAATAGAAGTACACATAGTGACTAAGGCACGTTGGCCACTTACTAGCTGTGCAACTTTGATAGGCAAATTAACCCTTCTGAGTCTCAGTTTTCTCATCTGTAAATTGGGGATGATGATAATATCTACACCACGGGGTTGTTGGGTAGAAATTAGTTAATTCATATAAAGCACTCAAGACAGTGACACATAGTAAAAAGTTATATAGGACATTCTTAAAAATGGTTTTAGCAAGAGAGTGGATTTGAACTTGCCAAGAAGAGATGAGAAATTGTGTGGTAATACATACCAGAGGAAAAGAAAGGGAGGAATGAGGATGAGTCCTATGGGCAGAAAGGGAAGGCACCTTGGGCTGTCCAGACACTAACTCCACCTTCTCTGAGACTCAGGCTTTTTCAGTGATTGATGTTGGGGACAAAGGGGTGTGGGGGGGGCAGGTGAATGGGCAGATGGTGGCTATGTGGGGACAGACAGTAGCACAGAAGCTCCACATGTAAGGGCTGGGGTTTCTCAGCATATGGACAAGGGGTGATGAAGTGAAAAGTCCCTTAGAGTCCTGTAGCTACTGCAGAGCTGTCATGGGGGTGAACTGTGTCCCTCAGAAAGATATGTTGAAGTCCTAACTCCCAGTTTCTGTGAACATGGCCTTATTTAGAAATTGGGTCTTGCACATGGAATCGAGATGAGATGAGGTCATACTGGATTAGGGAGGGCCATAATCCAATGACTAATATCCTTACAGAAGAGGGAAATTTGGACACAGATCCACAGAAACAGCAGCATGTTAGGACACAGAGAGGGACATGGGGGGAATGCCACGTGACAACAGAGGATGGCACTGGAGCAATGCAGCACCCACCAGAAACTAGTAAGACACAAGGCAGAGTTCCTTCTAAAGCCTAAGGGAGGGCAGCCCCGGTGGTGCAGCAGTTTGGTGCCACCTGAAGCCTGGGGTGTGATCCTGGAGACCTGGGATCGAGTCCCACGTCGGGTTCCCTGCATGGAGCCTGCTTCTCCCTCTGCGTGTGTGTGTGTGTGTGTGTGTGTGTGTGTGTGTCTCATGAATAAATAAAATCTTTAAAAAAGAAAAAGAAAAAAGAAAGCCTAAGAGAGGAGCATGGCCCCCAGAACTGTGGGCAAATATATTCCTGTTGTTTCAGGGCCCCAGTTTAGATACTTTATTTTGACAGCCCTCAGAAGTGACTATAAGAGCTAAGTAATGGTGAAATTAGAGACAGATGGACAAGTGCAACCTCTCAAAACTTCAAACACAGCCCAGGGTCCGGGATGAGTTACACTAAACATTAAAAATAAGTCTAAAGTGCCTGGGTGACTCAGTCGGTTAGGTGTCCGACCTCTTTTTTTAAGATTTTATTTATTTATTCATGAGAGGCACAGAAAGAGAGAGGCAGAGGCATAAGCAGAGGGAGAAGCAGGCTCCATGCAGGGAGCCTGATGTGGGACTCGATCCCGGGACCCCAAGATCACGCCCTGAGCCAAAGGCAGACACTCAACTGCTGAGCCACCCAGGTGTCTCAAGTGTCCAACTCTTGCTTTCGGCTCAGGTCATGATCTCAGTATCATGAGATCAAGCCCCATGTTGGGCTCTGCACTGGGTATGGAGCCTACTTAAGACTCTCTCTCCCTCTCTGCCTCCCCTTCCCCCCACTTAAGTAACTAACTAAATAAATCAATAAATCTATAGATCTAAATATAGGTAATAGATACATTTCCTCGAAAAGCTATCATCCGTATCATTAAGTCAAACAAATCAGATAACAGCATAGCACGGAAAACATGACCCCACTTTACATAATTAAAGCAAGATGTTCACAAGGGTGTGTGCTAAACCGTTAGGAGTGGTTGCCTCTGGCCATCGGCTTTGAAAAGATGACAAAACTTTTTAAATTTCTAAGTGTTGCTTATGTTTTGTAGAACTATGCATTCCTTAGTAATACAGATTCATTCTCATTGGAAGGGGAAAAGTTTAAGGCTGGAGAAGTCTTTTTTTTTTAATTTTAAAAATTTATTTATTTATGATAGTCACAGAGAGAGAGAGAGAGGCAGAGACATAGGCAGAGGGAGAAGCAGGCTCCATGCACCGGGAACCCGATGTGGGATTCGATCCCGGGTCTCCAGGATCACGCCCTGAGCCAAAGGCAGGCGCCAAACCGCTGCGCCACCCAGGGATCCCAAGGCTGGAGAAGTCTAATGTATTTTCTCCCACATTTGCACCCGACCATGGCAAACATTAGCTACCAGTGCTGCTGTAGAAGGCCAGTCTGGAAGTGGTGTGAAATTTCTGAATCAGAAACTGGGACAAGGAGATCTTCTCATCAGTTTTCAAGGATTCGTCCCCATTCTTCCAATACAGCATCAGATCTTCATCTGTATATGCATCTTTGGAGAGAGGAAAATAAGTTAATTTGACTCCTTGGCTTCTGATGTGGCCGAAGCAACAGGGAAATCCTACACCAGCCTAGGAGTAAACAGGTCTTAACACTGGCAGGCAGTACTCAGCGTCACGGTTACTGAAGTGGCACAGAGATTGGAGAGGGAACAAGGCAGAGATTTGTCGTTAGGGACACTGATACTTACAGCTTTCCAGCTCCAAAGAGCAGGTCTGGGAGTCCAGGGGAAAGTGGCTGAAGTCCATGTTGCACATGGCAGTCACCGTAATCCTAGGCAACCCAAACAGGCATGTTGGCTCATGCAGTGAGTTCTTGGCTCATGTGCCTGCCCCGAGTAAGAAGAACACCAACGACCAAGAGCAAATGCTTTCTCACGTCTAATTCAGAAGCTTGGAAACCCTGGTCCCTAAGTTGCAGGACCCTAACTTTCAAGTTCTGTCTTCTGCAGGACATGTCATCAGCGCTCTGCTGGGCCCCAGCTACTGTCAAGAGCCCATTCCTGCACTCTGCTCTGCGCCTGTGAGCAACCTCCCCCCAAGATGCCTGGGTGGCCACACCTCCCTACCCCACACCACCCCGCCCACACCTCCCTACCCCACACCACACCAAGGCTATTAGCATCAAATTCTGGTGAACCCTACAAGCAGGCCAAGAAGATGTGGAATAAGCCTGTGCAATCACTCATTGGCCCAGAAGCCAATCTGGAATAACACTCAATAAACAGTAGGTCTTGTTGTCTTTTTAAATCTTTATTATCAATAAACTAGAATGATAGGCTCTCAGGGGTGGAAGGCACGTAGAATGTCATTGACTCTCAACTCACTCAGGTCTAACAAGTCTCCTAACCTGAGCTTAAGATTGCCGATGACTGGGAAGTCACTGGCTACTAGGGTGACCATTTCATCTTCAGAGACTTCTAAGAGCTATCAGAAGGCTCATCGCATCCATATAGCCCTCAGGCCCAACCACAATGATAAACTCTTCAGGGCCAAAGAGACTGACCATACGTATTAGAATGGCATTGGACAAAGAGCCAGTGACCCCATGGACAGTTACCTCATGCTGTATAGCACGTGCCCATCCGGAAACACCCTCAGCATGATGTTATCAGTGGTGGTGTCATGAGTGAATGACCTTTTGGAGTGAACAAAGAAGACGTCGGGGACCCAGATCTTCTTTACCAGCCGACCATCGAAGGTCATGCTCTTGTTACTCGTGCTGGGAAAGGCCAGCCTCTCATCCTTCCAGTAATGCCGCAGGTACAGGGTCATGGTGAAGTCCTGTGGGAGCCCCAGGTGACACCAAACACAAGTGCTTAGAAAGCTTCCTTTCTGGTGGCTCTACCGGTTAAGCATCCGACTCTTGATTGCAGCTCAGGTCATGATCTCAGGATCGTGAATCGAGCCCCACATCAGGGTCCGTGCTGGGCATGGGGGCCTGCTTGGGATTCTCTCTCTCCTTCTCCCTCTGCCCCTCCCACCCAGCTCTTGCCCATGCGTGCTCTCTCTCTCTCTTTCTCTCTCTCTCTCAGTCTCCAAAATAAATAAATAGGGACGCCTGGGTGGCTCAGTGGTTGAGCATCTGCCTTCGGCTCAGGGAGTGATCCTGGGGTCCTAGGATCCAGTCCCGTATCAGGCTCCCTGTGGGGAGCTTGCTTCTCCCTCTGCCTAGGTCTCTGCCTCTCTCTCTCTGTCTCTCAGGAATAAATAAATAAATAAATAAATAAATAAATAAATAAATAAATCTTTAATTTAAAAAAAAAAGCTTCCTTTCCTACAATCAACCCATCATTAACCCACGTAACGGACACCTCAGGCTCAGCCTCCAGTGACAGGGCTGCAGCACCTACAGGAGGGTGGCCGCTGCCGCAGGGGTGCTGCTACAATAGGAAAGGGCCTGGCGCATTGTTGCTGCGCATCGTGAGGTGGGAGCCTGGGACGGGGAGCAGCCCATCCTTCAGGCTTTGAGGATGAAACCTACAGGGGTGAGGCAGCCAGCAAGGGGGCCAGCAGGGCAGGATTTCCCAGGAGTCCTGCTCTCTCCCCTAGACTCAGGCACACAGTGCTCCTTTCCTGTTGGCCAAGCATGCAGTTTCAGGTTGGTGGATGCTGGGAGAAACCTGCACGGTCAAGTGTCCTATTTAAAAGAGTTTCTGTCATTGATCTTGGAGAATCTTTGTGGGCAGAATTGTGCCCTGCGTGCCATTGAATCCCCAGGCCCTACTTGGCAAGGCACACAGTGGGTGCTCAATAAATATTTGCAGGATAGAAAAATGCGGGGTGGGGGTGGGAATGAATGGATGAAGGTATGTGCAGCTGCAGATCCACTATCATTTCAGCCTGAAAGTACTTTCTGTTAAACAGTGTCTCCTCGCCTGCAGGGCTGCTGCCTTAAACCAAGAGCCTGGCACCCCCGCCACAGCGGAAGATGCAAGTGCTAAGTTACAAGTGCAGATAAGTCAATAAGGGCCCCAAGCATCCCCCTCGGGAGCGAGGATGGAAAGATGCCTGGTGACAGTGGTCTCAGAGCATAGTGCCCACTTCTGCTTTACCAGCACACCTAGAACTGACTGTCCTGCAGGCTCAGTGGGGAGGGGAGCACCCCCACCCTCCCCCTCTCCATCCCCACCCCTTCCTCAGTTTGTGCTCTACTGTTTTATTTTGTGTTTATAAACCTCCTGTTTCTTCTGCCTCAAGGGGCCCTTGCCCCACTCTTGCTCTGGCCCTCCCCACGATGTCTCCTTCTTATCTATCCTTCAGGTCTCAATTGAAACAAGGCGTCTTTAAGAGCCTTCCCTTACTGCCTGACCTTGGTGGACACTGCCAAGGAAGGCGTAGGGAAGCAATGCTCAGGTGGGCATTAGCAAGCAGAGAACTGCAGAATTTCTGTCTGAAAATGACCCCCGCCTGTGCTCCTCCAAGTGTGGTTCATCTCCCCAGTCCCATCACCTGAGGAGTGTGTTCAAAGTGTAAGGTGCCGGGCCTCACTCCCAGAGACTGGTCCAGGACGTCTCCGGTGGGGCCCAGGAATCTCCTTGTAACCAACTCCCCCAGTTACTTTTACCCATCAGGTTGAGAACCCCTGCTTCAGGTTTCACTGCACCTGAGCCAACTTCCAAGTCCTAGTTTTACCCCCTGCTGCCCTGGCTCTGCCCACCAGGCATAGCCTGCACCTGCGCAGCCACCCCAGCCACAGGCTCTCACAGACCCTTAACCTCAGGACCCTGGATTTGAAGCCCCCGCCAAGGGCGCTGCGCACCATGTCCACCTCCGAGATGCTGTCCAGGCTCTCCACCTGCACGTCCACGCCCACCGGGATAGCAGGGCCTGCAGAAGAGCAAAGACAGCTGAGGAAGGCACATTCCTATCTACCAATGGGTCCGCAGCCACACACCCCTCCTGGGGATAGCCTGACCAGAGCAGAGTGAAGCAGGGGTTCCAATTCTATGAGGGCTTTCTTGCTACATCCTGACATGATGAGTGCCTGAGCTTTCTTCCTGAGGGCGGAGATCGTGTCTGACTTATGTGTCTTTCCTGGACCAAGGTGAATGTTTAATCCATGCTTGTGGGATGAATCGATGAGCTGGATTACTTTCTACATCCCAGGGCTATCACTCTAGGGTAGAGGGAATAATGTTCTATGTGTGTGTGTGTGTGTGTGTGTGTGTGTGTGTGTGTTTTTAAAGATTTTATTTATTTATTCATGAGAGAGAGAGAGAGGCAGAGACACAGGCAGAAGGAGAAGCAGGCTCCATGCAGGGAGCCCTATGTGGGACTTGATTCCAGGACCACAGGATCACGCCCTGAGTTGAAGACAGGCACTCAACTGCTGAGCCACCCAGGCATCCCATGTTCTAGTGTTTGAATAGCGACCCTAGTTAATTGTCCTCTTATAAAGGGCAGATGAGGCCTAAGAACCTCAGATCCAGGCTTGGGACACCAGCCTGCCCAGGGCCAGATTCATTTGGTCACTCAACCTACACCTATAGAGTAACAGATAACTGGGATCCTGCCCTCTAGAAGCCTCACAGTCTCGTGTGAGATAAGATCTCTCTGCAGATAGATCACAGCCAAAGCAATTTACACATTCAATACAATCCCTATTGAAATACCATGGACTTTTTTTAGAGAGTTGGAACAAATAATCATAAGATTTGTGTGGAATCAGAAAAGACCCAAATAGCCAGGAGAATATTGAAAAGGAAAACCAGAGCTGGGGACATCACAATGCCAGATTTCAAGTTGTACTATGAAGATGTGATCATCAAGACAGTGTGGTACTGGCACAAAAACAGTCACATAGATCAATGGAACAGAATAGGGAATTCAGAAATGGGCCCTCAACTCTACGGTCAGCTAATATTTGACAGAGCAGGAAAGACTAACCACTGGAAAAAGGACAGTCTCTTCAATAATTGGTGCTGGGAAAATTGGACAGCCACGTGCAGAAGAATGAAACTAGACCATTCTCTTACACCATACACAAAGATAAACTCAAAATGGATGAAAAATCTAAATGTGACAAGAATCCACCAAAATCCTAGAGGAGAACACAGGCAACACCTGTTTTGAACTTGGCCACAGCAACTTCTTGCAAGATACATCTATGAAGGCAAGGGAAACAAAAGCAAAAATGAATTATTGGGACTTCATCAAGATAAAAAGCTTCTGCACAGCAAAAGATACAGTCAACAAAACTAAAAGACAACCTACAGAATGGGAGAAGATATTTGCAAATGACCTATCAGATAAAGGGCTAGTTTCCAAGATCTATAAAGAACTTATTAAACTCAACACCCAAGAAACAAACAATCCAATCATGAAATGGGCAAAAGACATGAACAGAAATCTCACAGAGGAAGACATAGACATGGCCAAGAAGCACGTGAGAAAATGCTCTGCATCACTGGCCTTCAGGGAAATACAAATGAAAACCACAATGAGATACCACCTCACACCAGTGAGAATGGGGAAAATTAACAAGACAGGAAACAATAAATGTTGGAGAGGATGTGGAGAAAGGGGAACCCTCTTGCACTGTTGGTGGGAATGTGAACTGGTGCAGCCACTCTGGAAAACTGTGTGGAGGTTTCTCAAAGACTTAAAAATAGATCTGCCCTACAACCCAGCAATTGCACCGTTAGGGATTTACCCCAAAGATACAGATGCAGTGAAACGCTGGGACACCTGCACCCCGATGTTTCTAGCAGCCATGTCCACAATAGCCAAACTGTGGAAGGAGCCTCGGTGTCCATCGAAAGATGAATGGATAAAAGAAGTGGTTTATGTATACAATGGAATATTACTCAGCCATTAGAAATGACGAATACCCACCATTTGCTTCAACATGGATGGAACTTAGGGTATTATGCTGAGTGAAGTAAGTCAATCGGAGAAGGACAAACATTATATGGTCTCATTCATTTGGGAAATATAAAAAATAGTTAAAGGGATTATAGGGGAAAGGAGAGAAAATGAGTGGGAAAAGTCAGAGAGGGTAACAAAACATGAGAGACACCTAACTGGGAAACGAACAAGGGGTAGTAGAAGGGGAGGTGGGCGGGGGGTTGGGGTGACTGGGTGATGGGCACTGAGGGGGGCACTTGACGGGATGAGCACTGGGTGTTATACTATATGTTGGCAAATAAAACTCCAATAAAAAATATACAAAAAAATAAAAAAAGATCACAACCAAAGACAATACTACACAAGATTTTTAAATCCTTTCAGGACATGTCAGAAGAAAAGTAGAAGAGTACATAGCACAGGAGTTTGACACTCAAGTCCATCTGGCTCATGGCAAAATTTCCAAAACCAGGTTTAGCTGTGGATTTATCTGTGGCTATTGTTCTATTTCTTGGGCTGGTTGATGGTTACATTCACTTTGTGATAACTTAACGGGCTGTCCGCTCAAATTTGTGTACTTTCTATATGTATGTTATACTTCCATAGAATATTTTAATATTTTTTAGATTTTAATATATATTTTAAATTTATTTAGTCATCAGAGAGAGAGAGAGAGAGAGAAGCAGAAACATAGGCAGAGGGAGAAGCTAGCTCCCCGAGGGGAGCCCGATGAGGGACTCGATCCCGGATTCCAGGATCACGCCCTGAGTCAAAGGAAGATGCTCAACCACTGAGCCACCCAGGCGTCCCTAGGTTTTTAAACCTAAAATAGGGAAAATGAAAATCAAAAATGTGTTTGTCAAGCATATTAACAAATGCTATTATACTCACAGACAAAAAAAAAGTGTATATATATATATATATATATATATATATATATATATATATACCTCTGAGAGTCAAGTGGGAGCTGAGCTAGGTTTCCTGGGGAGAGGGTATTGTCTAGAGGCCAGCCCTGCTGCTCCTAGAACCTCTGAGTGCAGGGAGTACAGGACCAGGGCATGCTGACCCACTGTGGTCTGAGCAAGAAGAACCTTAGAGTGGCCAAGGGAGCCTGGGTCTTAGTGGTGAGAAGTTCTGGAAGGCACCAAGACTTTGGTCATGGGCAGGGAAAGAGGATCAGAGACACTGACATGGAGTGGGAACCAGAAGGCTCAATCCTCAGTTCCAGCCCAAACTGGGGAGCAAGGGTTCCTCATGGAGGTGGCCCATGGCATTGGATGGACTCACCAACTTCCCCCCAAAACTCCCCTGTACACCTGCTAATATAATACTTACAATCTCACCATTAAAGATTCATTTTTTGACTGAGCCCAATAGAATGGAAGCATTTTATTTATTACTAGTGGGAGGTAATGGATATTTTCTGTGTTCTTAACCATGTTAGCAAATGAGTACAATGCTTTACTTTTTAGTTTTAGTTTTTCCCTCTCAAATAAATCAGAGTGTAAGCTGATCTTTTTATTTTCCCATAGTTTTCAATTGATGCTTAGCTTAGGTCAGGGCCCATGAGAAGTCTCTGCTCTGACAGCTGTGTTCATTCCTTATCTCAGGCTGCAGGGGTGCTTTGAAAGCGCCAGAAGTGGAATGTTCAGTGTGGGAGGAGGCCCCCTCCTGAGGGCTGACTGGGCTGCCTTTCTTCCCCAGGGAGCTTGCATCACGAGGGGGTTCTGCAGGCAGCCTGGCCAGGGTCCTCTCCTGGCCCCCACTCCCCTGCGCAGGGCTACATGCTCCCAGCATAGCCATCAGGGAGGTGGGGCTGAGTTTCCTCATCCTCTGGACCCTAAGCCAGAGATATTAAAATGATTCAGCGTCTAGGCTGTTAACTGGGGTAGCCCTGCCTCTCATGGAGGTTTGCTGTACTTGCTCCCTCACTTTCTTTCTCTCTCTAAAGTGCCACGCTATCTGCTACACCCAGTTCTTCCAGGAGCCAAATGGAAGAAACAATATGCCATCAACCTCTTTGGACCTCCCTCCTAGTGGCCCGGTTTTCAGATAATGGGCCCAGTGTTTGAATAGGAGCTGGTTTTGGCAAAGGACGCATTCAAGATAAAGCATATCAGCTTGCTTGGAATCTGGAATGGTGTCTCTCTGTTCTCAGGGCCTGCCCTGCTCTCCACAGCTCCAGCTGCCCTTCGCAGAGAAATTTGATAATACCTGTAAGGGTGGCGTCAGTGCTCTGGAAGGTAGTGCTCACGTGGGAGTGCAGGTCAAGTTCTCAGGAGATCTGGATTGTTGGAGGTAAACAGTCTGGGTGTTCAGGAGGCTCTAAAGCTGCATTCCGTGGGACTCACCTCAACTTTGTACAGAAGCAACAACCTGTTCTCCTTAGTCTGAGTGCAATGGAGTTGATCTCTGTCCTTGACCTGCCCACTGCCCAGGGCGAATGCTTCCAGCCTCTCCTGAACTCTATTTTGTGGCCCTTCTTGACCTGATTTTGGGAGAAAGTCTTCCAAAGTACTGGTCTTTCTCCTCCTTCCTTGAACAATTTTATGTTTTGAGTGGGACTGGGTTCCATAGGGTGTTAGAAAGAAAACGGTCTCATTAAACTAAGTAGGCATTTCTGCCTTGGCCTCGTCACACTGCTGTGGTTTTCCTGCTTTGAGAGAGGGATCTGGTAAACCAAATAGAAGTCACTGGTGGAATTTCAGGCAGTATAGCCAAATGAGGTGACAAATTCAAGGCAGGATATGGAGATACATGTGTAGCCAAGGATTTTCTTGGTTCCTAGCCTTTCTATCGTTATTTGTCCTCACATGGTCCTAAAAAGCACACATGAGGAATTTATCCATTTTTGAAGTTGAGATATCCCACTTCTTCCTCACTGACTCCAAGAATGAAAGTGAGACAGAATTTTCAGAGAAACTAAAACAGAGAATTGGACATGTGTCCTGCCCTAAATGAAGATATTTCTCAAGTTG